TTGCGCTGTTTTTCATTGTGGTGATTATACTAGAGAGATCGTTTTTGTGCTGTTTCCATGGAATTCTGATGAATGTGATTTCCCCCCCTCACAATGCACACCTATTTAATTGCTTAAAACACTGCTTAGTTTTATTAATAGACTGATTTCCTCTAATAAACATAGTTGAGCTTTAAGAACAAGTAACAAATCAGATTTTATATTATAAAGCAGAACAACTTTGATTTGTGTAAACTTAAGTGTATTTGTAGATGCAGGTTGAGATAATGACTTGTAGAATTTTTATCAGTGATCTTATCCTTATAACACTTTCTAAGACTATCTGTTCTATTAGCTTCCTGCTTCAGTTGCACACTGTGATGCCTGAGGAAAGTTTTGTAAATTAGATCTCTATTATAGATTCCTACATTTTTCATGCAAAGATCAATCATTCTTATTTATTTGATTGTTCTGTTCAAAGATACATTCTCTGTTACAGAATTAGTATAAAATACAGTATTTTCAGTCTGTAGGTGTTATTCAAAGTCTCATTGATGAGAATTTAAAATCTTTGTATATAGAAGGTAGTTTAAAGTAGCGGTTAATGAATTCTGGCTCTAGCCTGCTTCGTATCCTGGCTTTGCTGCTTACAAGCTGTGTAATCACGGGCAATTGATTTACTTTTGCCTCAGTGTCCTTATCTGTTCAGTGGGAATAATAATAATAGTACCTACTTTATAAGGTTGTTGTGAGGATTAGATCTGAGTACTTCAAGTACTCAGTGCCTGGCACATGGTAAGAATTATAAAAATGTTGCTTATTATTATTATTTTATCAGTTATTACCAGTGGCAATACCTATATTAGACCTAGTGGCCTGGGACTGGAAGTTTCAAGTGCCTGTATTCTATGGCTAAGTTCATTGCTGCCGTCTTAATTATCAGATTTCTCTGATTCCACAGATCCCAGTTGTTGTCTTCACATGGTCCCACATATACTTATGTTTTAGTTGGAGTCTGTAGGAAATAAATATTCCCAATGTTTTTATTTTGCATTGGTAAACCCTTTGGAACTTTATCAGTTCAGTATGTTGAGTATGCTTTATGAAAATATATGTGCATTTTAAACATTTGTTTACCCCTTAAATATAAGACATTTTTCTTAAACCTTTATTTGGTATATTATTTTTCTTTGAAAATGTTACCAATGCATCGTTCCTTCAGCTTCAAAGTATAATGCCAGAGCTATGTTTTAACTGAAGCATGGAAATTCTTTCCCTCACTCTTTTCTCATGAAGAACAACTGTGGCATTAAAGAAACATCTGACTATAACCCTGACATTAACCAGACATAAAATTTTGAGTAATTTCTAGCCCAGGGAAAGACTACATGATATCTCATTATTCTTTAAGCTTACAGATTCAATATATCATGAATAACTTGAAAATAATAAGATTCTTCTTACTTAGATTATTAAATTGATCTCATTTCTTTGTGGTGCTTTGTACTGCAAAACAAATTTCTAAAATATGTAGCTCATTTTCCCATAATTTGCATATTCTCCAAATGTTCTAAATAAATAATTTGTTATGACAGAAGTCTCTTTAGAGGTATGGGAAAATCTCATCTAGAATAAAATTTAGAGTCTTTGCCATGTCTTTGAAGGTTCTCCAATGTTGATCCTGTTTCCCTGGCTGACCTCATCTCCTGCCATTCTCCCACTTCCTCCAATCTAATCTCACCGGTCTCCCCACCACTCCCCACTACTACATGGTTAGTTCCACCTTTTTGAATCTATGCTTCATTTTCCTGGAATGTTCTTCTCCCCAAATCTCACTTCAGTTGGGTCTCAGTTCAGATGACTCCACCTTAGACTTCTTCTGTAACCTCCATTTCTAAAATATAAACCCTATCACTCTCTGTCACCTTACCTGCTTTAGGTTTCCTTGTAGAACTCATCTCTAACTGACATAATATATGCATTTTTTTGGTTTATTGTTTGCCCCCTACACTAACATGTTAACTTAATGTAAACAGGGCCTTGTTCTGTTCAGTGCCTTGTTCCTGTTTCCTGATAGAGACTTATGACAGCTGATAGCAGGCATTCAAAGTTTTTGCAGGACTAGATAAATTACTATGTAATGTTTTCAGTTGTGCAGTTACCTGATAAACTTTTAGGCACTTCGAGATGATCTTTAGATATATTTTGAAGGTAGATCTGAATTATAGTCCGTTAAAAATACTCTGTTAATTGCCAGGATAGGAAAAAAATCTATATAAAGAATATAAAAAGTTAGAATTGACCTGATCTAAGGATAAAGCCTGTTTGATCTATGAGAGACAATGCTTACGTATTATCTAGCATAGAGTTCTTATTTTAAAGACTAGAAAACTAAGAACTGGTTATATTAGCAGATGTGCCAGAGGTACACAGCTTTTGGGTAGTGGAGTACTAATTTTGTGTCTATAATATACTTGTTATAATTGTATATAATTTATATATAAAAGTGTTTAATTTTCTGTAAATATGTTTTCTTAATTGAACTTTCTTTACTTGCAACTTTGCTGTCTTCTCTACAAAGAATATGCTATAATATTTTCTCAATTTTTTTAAGTTACACAGTTCTTATGTGGTAGTGTGGTGAATATGAGAGATCTATCTATTTTGGTACACCTCAGACTTTTTTGGAAATATCCACTTGGATGTCTGACAGTTAAGAGAATCAATGTTTTCCAAAGCAAATTACTTATAGTTTGATGTAAACCTGATGGTTTTGCCGTATTATTTTTAATAATTTATTGTGGGTGCTAGTTCCAAAAACTTGACTTGGTGATATGTCATATATTTTTGCATCTCCATGTCACCTATCCCGTGTATCCCAAAATTTGCCAAGTCCTGTAGAATTTCCTTTTCTCTTGGTGGATCGTGATTAGCAACGATAACCCTCTGCCAGATGCTGACCACTGCAGAAATTTTATGAATCTGTTTATGATCACAGAAACGATTCTCTAAGAAACCAATCAAATTCTTCAAAGATAATGTTATATCTTCTTACCAAATAATTAATGACTTCATTTAAGAATGAATATTGAGGGGATAGGGAAATATTTACGTGGCACTTAGTGTTCTCCACTCTGGGGATGCCCAGTGAAATGTCCGCCTCTTTATAGTTCCTCTTTTTGAGACTGTACTTTTCCTTTTGCTACAAGGTTATTGTTTTCTCAGTAATAAAAAGGAAACTCTTTTTTTGTTGTTGTTTTTAGGGTTTTAAATGAGCTTTTTAAAAAGTCATCTGTGGGCAGATGAAGAAATTGAGTAATTATCTGTCTTTTAAAGCTACATAAGCTTTTTTAGCCCATCAGATCCACTGAAAGAATGGAAAGAGTTAATATAGCTTTAAAGAGGGATAATTTACAACCAGGGAGTACCTGAATTTGACACAATGAGTTAGAACAACCCCATTTTCATTTTCCTCTAGTTCAGATTTGTAACATAAATAAATTCATGTTCTGTAATTGTTACATAGAAGTATTTGAATGCCTCCTAGTGGCATATTGTTTGCTCCAATTAAGGAATTTAAAACAGCAATTATTTTAATATTTGCTGTAATAAACTTAAAGCTTGTAAATACAAGGTGCTAGAACCTCTTAATGATAGCATCCTAAGTTAAATCAAAATATATTGTTTTACCACATAAAATTGATTAAAACTATGACTGGAAAGATATGTAATACATATAACAAAGATGAATATACTTTCAATAAATATTTTTATGTTTTTGGTTCAGATTATTGCAATTGATTTTTTTTTACTTAATGGAACTATTTTGCACTTAAATATAGATAAATGTTGCCATTAGTAATATTTGGATTGCTTTGTGTACATGTATTCTTTTAAATTAATTGTGATTATCATGTGTTTGCTTTAATTTCTTTGTATAATAATAGAGATAATGGTTTATGGAAAGTCTGTGGTTCATTTCCAGATGGTTTTTTAAAATTGTGATTTTCAAGTTGAATAAAATGATTTAATTGGTAACCTTGAAATACACACTATAGTGAAACTTTAAAATGATGAAGACTGCTGATTTAATTATTGCTTTATATACTAAAAAATGACTTTACACTTACAGAGATATATCTTAAAATGGAAAGGAAGTCACAAGGGTAGAATTCTGATATGAGGGTCAGTAGGATGAAGGAAAAAAGTGATTTTCTTTTGTTAAGCTTTAAAAAAGTTTAATTAACTGCTTGCCAAAACAAAACAATTAAAATGGCAGTTACCTTTAAAATAGCAACAATGTAATTGCAGCCGTTGTGATAGAAAGCTAGGAAACAAAATGTTAATCTGGAATGAACAGTTTTAATATGAAATTATGATATACTTGGCTTCCTGTAGTACAGCTGTCAAGCTTGGGCAGTTCGCTGGTCAATAGTGACATTCTATGTGTCAGTGAGCAGAGTCTCTTGATACCATAACCCGCAGTTCACACATTACTGAAGCTCCAACTGTCGAACATTCAAGTCCCCTGGTATTATTGCAGCTTCCAGACTCTCCTGACTGGCTCATGTTTCATTCTTTGGCAATTTGCCCTAATGATATCCCTCAGGAGCTTTCAGCCTCTCTTCCTTTCCATATTTAATCGTGTTATATTAATCTGAGTGATGCACAAACTCTGCATCACAAAAATTATAATTTCTCACAATTTTTAAAAGATGCTCACCTAATTTTTCAGTTTTACTTTTATTTATATTCTAAGTTTCTACCCCAAACGTTGTATTTTCAGATGATTATAACTATCTACATATGATTTCCAAGAAGTTAATTTTGCTGTTAATGTGTTTTTCAGAGGGACTTCTGAGACAAAAGACTTTTTTACATGTAGGATTGGTAAAGGCAATGTGATTTATGTCATTATGTAAATTGTTTGATATTATCATTCATCTCTGATACCTTGAACATGAATTCTTGTTTGGAGGGTCAGCAGCTACTTATTTTTGTTATCTTTTTACACATTTCAGTTAACTGCCTGTCTCCATGGATCAGCTGCTCTACTGTACCCAATGTACTGGCAACACATATACATCCCAGTGCTTCCTCCACATCTGCTTGACTACTGCTGGTAAGACTACTTGAAATATAGGTTTCAAGATTAGAAAAAAATTCATTTATTTGCAGATTAAGTAAACTTTCTATATATGGGAAAGAATCAGAAACTTGACTTGTAGGCTAGTAATAAGTATTAAAGAATTTTATGAAGGACAGACTAATTCTTTCCAAAGGTAGTAAAAATTTATACTTAGCAAACACAAAGTTCTTTATGTTTTGTGAGTTTCTTCTTCAGTCATTTAGTTAGCTAAATGATTAAATAGAAACAAATATAAGTGTAGGTTGCAGTGGGGAAAACTGTACAGAAATTGTGGTATCAATTAGAGAACCCAATTCCCAGGTGTCAGAATTTGTATTGTAAGTCTGCCTGAAACCACATTGTCTCTGTCAGGGCATACTCTTGTTACCTTCACTTCAGAACATGCTTTTCTTTACCCCACTTTCCTCAGTGGCATACCAAATACCAAATTCTGACAAGGGGTTGCTTCTAATACAAGTATTCTCAAGTTTCTGCTTTAAGTCAAAGTCTCAACCTTAAGCCACTGTGAAAAACCATGTTAAAAAGTGTTGGAAGTAATTCTGAAAAGCTTCCTGACATTAGAAACAACCCCCTGTGATCCCACTCAATTTGAATTCAACCAGGCCTCTAGAACCTTCTTGTTCTCTTTCCCTCAAAGAGCCTGCATACTTATAGTGAGACTATACAAGGGATTAAACTCCTAAACAGCAGCGTTGAGGCCTTCTTCAAGACTGGGGGGTGGGGAGGTGGGGGGAGGTAAAATATTATCTTCATTGCATAATCATTTTCTGCAGGCATAGTTTAATTCTTAAAAAACGTGATGGGATTTTTCCTGTAAACCATACATGTGCACACATACATTTATGGAAATCATTTTGACCTACCTTAATGTGTGTGTTTATATTACACCTAATGTGATTTAAAAACAAAGCTTTTAGAATCAATGTATTTATTTAACTTCCTTATTTCATAAAATACAGAAAGTATTGAACTGTTCAAATTATTTAAGTTCATATATAGAGGTTTTCTATTTAGTTTTTATGAGTAACCCTCTTAAAAACAAGTGATTGTAATGATATCACATGTACTTGGCCACATATTGATTGTGCTAATAAACTGTGTTTCCACAGCATGGTAATATTAGTATTGATAATGTTGCAAAGTAGGTGCCCAGTGACCTGCCATTGCTGTTCTGCCATTGGAAAACTAGAAAGGAGAAACAGTTTGTCTGGAATGCTGTTTAACTGCATTGTGACGTATCACACTCACAAGTAATAAAGCTAAATCTGTGGGCTCTTTCGTTATTTATTTTAGGGTTTTTTAAAACCAATATACCTATAATATTTGAGTATTCTAAAGGTAGGGTCTGCAATTTTTTTCATGTGGACATATGCAGATCTTTTTACATATTGTTTGGTAATGAATACTTATTTATTTAAAAATATTTTCTACAAAAGTATTTGAAAATATATTGATACATGATTTTAAAAATATGATAGATTAGTGGTTCAAGAATAGAAACTTCTAATTATGAGATTTAGAATTATATAATTTTAAAATATATAATGTTAGTACCATTTTAATTTTTTCATTAAAATGTTCTGACCTCTTAAGAGGTAATACACCTTTAAGTTCAATTGTCTGTAATGAATTACACATTTAAGACTTTCTAAAATGTTATTGAGAAACTACTTTATGACAGAGGCCATTCTGTACTAATTTTTTCCAGAGCTTTCTGGTACTTTCTATGCCTGCCATCAAATTCTTCTTTTTCTGGAGCTTACACTATAATTGAAGGAAGCGTGTTTCATATATAATGATCCCTGCAATTTTCCTTCGGATTTTTAACATCTGAGATACCCTTTAGGATGAGTTCTCGCAACCTCCATGTCAGAAGCCTCTCTGATCCTGAGAATACAGCAGTGATATTTAAATGAGTTATCTGGAACTACCTGAACCTTAAGGCCACAGTGATAGGCTCGGCTTCTATTATAGGAACTGGGCAGTATAATGTATTTTATTTTTCTTCTTTTTCTTTTTTTTTGTTTTAGAAAGCCATCTAAGACTCTGGCTCTCTTCCAAAGAAAATGACAAATTTTCATTGTCAGAAAATTTGATGGCCTAAGCTACTGCTTAGGGTAAACAGTTGTCTCCCTTTTGCATCCTTGAGGTTAGAATCACACCGATCTATGTGTAAAGGGAAAGAAAAATTACAGATTATACCTTCAAGCTCATGGTCCGTGAATACATGATTTTGATATTCCAGTTCAAAAATGGCACCAGGAAGATTTGATAGGAGTATATACATATATGTTTGCTAACTCTTTGATGTGATTGAGACTTTCTAAATCCTGAGGTAATCCAGAGCACTTGGTAGCTCTGCTGTGGAGTGGACTGTGGAGAGCCATAATGCCATCTTGTGACCATGGATGAATATCGCATCTTGGTCCACTGATAAAGCTTTGTTACTTTGTTGGTTTATTCATTCATGCAACCTTTCATGTGAAATTTAGTAAACATTTATTTGCCAAGCTGTGAATATTTAATGTAATGAATAAGACTTAGTTTCTGCCCTTGTGGGAGTCACAGATAGTAATAGATACACATGTACATACATGTGGGCACATGCACACAGAGCATGTGTACGAAGACATGCAAAAGCACCATGGATAGGAACACATAAGAAGTGGTCCACACTCCCTGGCAGAGGTAGGGAAGGCTCCTGGGAGGAAGTGACACCATCTGTGTTTTTCTCTTAATCAAACAATATAAGAGCACTTTAAAGTGGCAAGTCTGTTATGTTGCCAGACACTCTTAACCTGTCTGAGCCCATAAACACATGGGAGGTAGTATGACTTTAGGACCAGCAAAACTATAATCATTTATTATTTGTTCAGAGAATGGGTGAGTCACTCTCTATATTTAGGCTATATCTCTGACTCTTGGTTCTTGTGAAAGTAGCAGATTTAGCTTTGAAGAGAATAGTTTTATTTTGTTTTGTTTAAAAAGGAAAATTATGTTGTTTAGACTACCCTAAAAGACTGCTGTTATAGTGTTTGTCATGGGTGGTCTCTCTGTAAGACAACTGAACAAGAAAAAAAGATAATTTTGAGTAAAGATAAATTGCTACCAAAAAGAAGAAGCGATCATAATGGAAACTTCTGAATCCTATATTTGCAAAATAACGTCATTGACAGAAAGATCTAGGGTAGTTTTTGCGCATAGATGACAAAATATCTGTGTTGTCAAGAATCTCTTCCTGGCTTATTTAATGCCTTAATCTTATTAGGAAATTTAAGGTAGGGTTGCAAAATTACTTTTCCTGATATTTGGCAGTTTCACATTAGTTTATATACAATCTAGTTTTTGTGAGAAAGAAACAGCTATTTAGTCAACTCTAGATTCTGCAAAACAGCATAATTATTTTAGGAAATTAGGCTCTATATTAGTAATTTTTTTAGTTCCAACATCTGTATGTTTTAGATTTTGTTAGAAATTAGTGAGATGAAAACACACGGAAATTTCCAATGATCCCATTTAAAAAGTTTCATGTTATCTTATGATTAAATTCTGCATGGGAGCTTTGTAAAATTTTTAAATTCAAACTTAACAATTTTTCTAAATTTATTGTTTGCACTTCTAAAGAAAAGTAGCTTTATATAGTTTTTAAAAGTGTTTTCCTAGATGTAGTTCCTAGGATTTCAATAGGTTATTTAGCAGTTTTTTCTCTTACTTTTTGAAACTCTTATCTACCTAATATTCCTCCAACATCTGTAAAATGGACATGGTAATTATTATTTTTAGAAGGCGTAAATATTTTGATAAACATTATCTTATTAAAATATTCTTTGAAATTTGAGATACCATAAGCTTTTTCTATAATACACATCTGTACGTAGGATATCCTAACCTGAGGTGATTTGGAAGTTTGCACAATGACTTTAAAAGTTTATACAACTTTGAATATGGGGAGGGCTTGGTGTAGCTAAGATCTGGGAAGTTGCCTAGCTTGTTTTGTCAAAGTTGCCCAAACCTGGTCATGGAAGCGCAGAATAGGTAATGACATGCTTTTTATGTCTTCTGTCTATGTCTTCTGTCGAGTCCCAGAAGGAATTCCAGGGATGAGGACTTCAACTAGGGGTAGTAACTGACCTTCCCGTATTTAAGCAAAAGTGAGACAGTTCACATTTATTCCTTCTGTTTCTTTTGAAGGCAGAAAATCTGTTAGGTCTTAAGGATATCAAGGCCTATAAATAGTTTTCAACTTTCAGTCAAATGAAGTATCCAGAATATCACATTAATTTCAGATGGTCTGTTGCATAACATTTTTAAAAAAAATCAAAAGGAGCAAAATACAAAAGGCAAAGACAATTGGGAATTAGAAACTAGTATAATAGGAAGTAATGAACTACAGTGTATAGGCTAATAGGGAGTAAAATAAGAATTTTAACACTTCCTTTGTGAATTATAGATATATAGATTAGTGTTTAACTGTCTTTAAATAAATTGGGAACTGTTTGAGGTTACTTTGAAATCTCTTGGTCTGTCAAGGTGCCTGTTAGTTTTATCTATTACTGGTTCTTAGTAGCAAAGTGGACACACAGAAGTTAGGACAGCTCTGTTCTAGTAATGACAATGGTGTTTAGAAAATTATGCAAATCCTCTGAGAAAGAGGATTATCTGTTTGCATTAACAGAAAAGGTTTGCATTAATAGAGCACAAAGATATCTGTAAAAGAATTGCCAAGTGTTTTATTTTAAAATAGCTGTTTTTCACATACCTTCTTTTACCCTTGTAGACATCTGTCCATTCTTATGTTTTCCTGTTAGATAACATTTTAGTTTTGAAATGTCAAGTTGAATAATTATCTTCTTGTACTTAGTGAGAAAACTTTCTTAAATAACTAATAATTCTGATTTATATGTTAAAAGTTATTTAATATCTATATTTTCTGCAGAGTATAAGATCCACAAGGGGATTTATTCTGTTTATATTGTTTATTATTGTATCTATGCCTCTACCCCAGGGCCTGATACCCAGTGTGCTCCAAAGGCCATGTGTAGAATTAATTAATTTAAGAGCATTCTCACATTTGTTTGAATATTTTTTAATTTGTTAATTTTTGTATTCATAAAAGTAAAAGTTAGAAAAATTTGAATTCATAAAATTTAAATAACAGACAGGGTACATGAGGGGAAAGATAGCATAGTAGGTAAGGAACTTGGTTACTTTTGCGCGTTAGTTCCAGAACAGTGTCTGCCAAATAATAGTCTCAGTTAATATTTGCTGACTGGTTCAATAAATATTTAGTGACACAGTAGGCATGAATCAATGAAGATATATTAAGGATATCCGAGAAATAAGAATTTAATTGAATAGGAAAAGATGTGTGAAAAGCATGTAAATAACTTTGATGATTATTTAGGCTATATTTGCTGTGAGGTATATGGAAAAGATTAAACTCAGACTATGGCCTAAACTAAAAAAAGTTTTCTAGACATTATAAGTCTTGATTTAATTGTAAATGATTTTGCGATTTTAATATAAACCAAACTTAAATATATGAATGACCTCTAAGATTAAATTTGAGTTTTATATATTGAATAATTTTGAATATCTATTAATGTGTTATGCTAGAACTGAACACTTAATACACTTAATTTTGTGTTTATTTTAAATTACTTATATTGTTTCAGTTTTAATGAGCTATATGAATCTATGCATATATATTTTTTTTAATTTAGTGCCCCAATGCCATACCTGATTGGAATACACTCCAGCCTCATAGAGGTGAGTATCTTTCAGACATAAGATAGTGATAAAATTAACTCCTAAAGATAATACAGCTGTTCTGTGTAGAAGAAATATCAATTGAATAATACAAAGTAAATTACTAGTTTCGTATTTATAGTGTACTTAAATGGTTATTTTGGAAAAAATTAAAATTTAAATAATTTCATTTAAATTAGTATTCTAAATGACCATTTTCAGTGGCATGAATCCCATGAAAATAGATTATATCTGGTAGAAGTCATATGGTAAGTTTCAAAAGCTTTAGTCCTTGATGAAGCATGTTTTTTAATGGCAACTTGGGATTGTTTATATTTCTTTCTCAGGCCTATATTTTGAAAGCCAAAATTTACCTGCCTATGAGTCATAATATGAATTTTTTTATTTTGAAAACGTATATTCTAATTTATTAGTATGCTTTTAATTTCTTTCTTTTTTTTCCCTTGAAGTTCCGTTGTCAGATGGGTCCTGTGCCCACATCACAAGGTTTAAGGGTGGCACATCTCATGCCCACGAATACCCAATCGTCGCTCTAAATGAACTACAAAAGAACCTAGTCTGCTTTTTCAAGATGTGATTTTAATATACTAATCATGAGATTTTAAATTAGAATGTAGCTTTTTTAAGTTTTCCAGTTCTGTTTGATATAAAATTTAGTAACTTCCCCCGCCACTGGTCCACATCATTTCGAAATGATTTTTGTCACTTAAGTTATCTTTGTAGTGAAGCAACTTGATCTTCAAGCATCTTGAACTTGAAATTAGTGAAATTTTCAGAAAGGACTTTTTATAAAATTAACATTTAAAAAAATAAAAGCTTGGATTAAAACAAAAGACTTGGGTCAATGGTTTAGTATTATTCAAATAAATTTCTCTTTTTGCTGGTTATACAGATTGCTCTTTAACCCAGTTTCTGATGAGCAACCTAAATGTGTTAGGTTTGGTTTTCTTATTAGTTGCTGTCACTGTATACACATCAGTTCCTATTTTGATTAAAGAAGAGTCTGTTGATAAATTTTAGAACTCCTGAGGATCATATTGGGAGAACGTGATGCCCCTATAGGAGGCCTTGGTTATGGAATTCTACCTATGCTCTGACTTTGGGCATTTTTTTTCTTGTTTCACCATTAATAAAGAATACATTTTAAATAATTTCTTTAGAAGTTTTGTTTTTAATATTGAAGTCTGGATTGGATAAGTTTATGACTATATTTTATTGATTTGTAGATAACTTGTTTTTGCATGCCAAGGTACTTACAGTGAAAGGAAAAACTATATGAAATGACACATGAATGAATAGGTATTTAATCTGTTATTAGATCATGGACTGTTAGGGGACTGGCATTTTATCCATCAGTAGTTTTACTTTATTCAAAATCTGTCCATGGTTGGTTTCTTTTCTAAAAAGAATCATCAAATTTGAGTACATGTCTTTCCTTACTAAATGTATCAGACTACAGAATTTTAACAATTCATTTATGTATTTATAAAAATAAAAAATATTTTAAATTGTTGATTACCTGTTGATGTTATTTTTTTTGCACAATAATTATACATCAACTTTAAAACAAACAATTCAGCTTTTCCAAAATACTGTATAAAAGGGTACATATTTTAGATATTCACTTAAATTTATCACATATTTATTAGACACGTGTAGAGAAAACCGGTGCTTTTTTCTTGTTTGTTTTTGTTTTGATTTGAGGGTCTCACTCTGTCACTCAGGCTGGAGTACAGTGGCATGATAATAGCTCACCATAGCCTCAACCTGCTGGGCTCAGACAATCCTTCTGCCTCAGCCTCCTGAGTAGTTGAGACTACAGGAGCTCACCACCATGCCTGGCTAAGTTTTTGGTTTTTTGTAGAGATAAGATCTCACCATGTTGCCTAGGCTGGTTTCTCACTCCTGGCCTCAAGCAATCCTCCTGCTTCAGCCTCCCAAAGTGCTGAGATTATAGGCAAGAGTGATCATAACTATTTACTCCTTGAAAAGTGGTGTCTTGGAGAAATAGTCCATTCTAACTTTAAACTGGGTCCTATTATTAAATGAGAATATTTAGGACCAAGATTAAATTGGCTTAAATCTCTGTACTTTTTATACTCTGGACTTATCCAAATATTTTAATAGTTTTATATTATTTATTTGGTTTAATAGTGAATGAGAAGGTTTATGGGAATTTCAAGAATTCCTTTAAACCAGCTGGGTACCATACAGTAACTTTCTTTTTAATCTGTTACAAGATGATATGTATTCATACTTTTATTCTTATTATGTCATGATTAGGCAGATTTTTTTTCATTAAAATGTCTATCTTTTGTTCTTTTTAATTTTATAAAAAATGGTCTTATAACTAAAATATGAATATAGCAATTTTCACATTTAAGTAAGTCTGAGCTAAGTAACTTTTTTTGTTTTGTTTGCAGTTGCAATCTATTTTTAAAAAGGAATAATCAAAATATTCTCTTACTTCCTCTCAGAACAGTTTTAACACATTTTAGCAGTTCTATATAAACTTCTCAACATAGTTGGTCAAAGACATGTAATTAATGTCCTTTCACATTTTTTCAATTAGTGAATTCATAAGTAAAAGATGGCAAGAAATCTTCTATTAAAATATAGATTTTCTTCTAAAATAAAGGCTGAAGACATTTGTTCTTCTTGAAAACTAGGCTTTAGGAATGAACTCAAGGCCAACTAAGGTCTGTATTTCATTAGTAATAAATTAGAGGCTAAAAATGTTAAGGGGTTTCTTAATTGTTTTAATATACAAATGACTCTAAATAAAATATTGACCCAATTTCATAGGATTATGTAGTTGCTGTTACTTTGTTATTTCTTTGCGTTAATGTGCATTTGCATTGATGTGAACATTGTATGAAAGGGTTAAATACAGAGAATGTGAGGAAGACTTACCAATTAAATACATTGCTGATGTTCTTAATAAGCCTTTCAGTCTAATTCAATATTATTATTCTATTTTTGGAAAAAAGGCAAGTTCATTTTTTAATATTTTTTCACTGTTAACTTTATAACTTATAATTTTATGAGATGTAAACGTGGAGAAAGTGGTACCATGTTATATACCATATGACTTTCCATGCCTATTTAGGAAGAAAAAAAAAGCTAAAGTCTGATGTAGAGAGAAAAAATAGATAAAATACTAATACAAATCCAAACCTTTTAAAAAATATTTAAATCGCATATTATTTTTTCCTTCTTTTGCTAATATAGGATTGTTCTCAGGGACTCTTAGTTTGTTGATTTGAACGGAATACGTTTTCCTATTCTTATTGAGTGGTCCCTTGAGCAAAATGTAGTATTCAGCTATTAGACTTTATAAAACTAAGAGCAATTTTGGTTAACAGTATACATATTTACACCACTTTTCTTTTCTTTTTTTTTCTCTTTGACAAACTTTATTAAATGCTGCATTGGTATGGAATATCTCTTAATGCATACTAGAATTTCAGGATTCAGGGGGGTGGTAAAGTGGCAATTACACCACTTTTCTTAATTCAGAGTTTAATGTTAATGTCATCACAAAATATTTTGGGGACACATAACTGTTAAACTAGGCTACTTATAGACTAATTTCATCTTTTAAAAAGTACATCGGGATCGGGTGTGGTAACTCATGTCTGTAATCCCAGTACTTTGGGAGGCTGAGGAGGGAGGATCACTTGAGAATAGCCTGGGAAACATAGTGAGACTTCAGCTCTAAAAAAAAAAAAAATCTGGTTTCCAGATTATCTTTACAGTTTCTGTCATAAGGACAACTCGAAGATGAAAATCGAAATTATGACATATTTTTTCTATACAAATGTCATTAATATAATTATGTTTTTGCTTATATACTAGATTATTATAGGTGTACTAGTCAATTTATAGATAACCATTTATGTATTTAAAACTTTTAAATTTATGTATATATACATAGAAAGGAAAGAAAATGAATGTGTTTATCAATAGTATCAATACCATCACTATAAGTAAGTGATTATCTGCTAATATCTTAGAAATGGCTATCTTTTAAGTCTTACTTTATAATAATTTACAAGATAGATTTTGTCTGTCCTCTCAAAATCCACACTCTACATATATATTATGGTTTCTTAACAAGAAATTGCCTACCCTAGACTATCATTTCCTGACAAATTTAGCATTCTCCCTAATATCCAGAGATTTAAAATTCTAAATGGATATAACAAATTTCAGTCATGACCAGCTTATTTAAAACAAAAGAATTAGTTTAAAATTTTGATGTACTTAAATAATAATTTTCAAAAATGACTTATTCTAGAGCATCACTTTAAAAAAACACTACACCAGAACCAATTATTGACCTATTGCTGGTTGACCTGTAGTTTTGGAATTTTGGGTTCATTTATATATTTCATTAACAAGCATCTTACTTATCCCAGAGGAATAATACTATTTGCTATAATTTAGTAAAAATATGATTTGCTGAAGTATATGTATTAGTTTAAATAAAAAAAAGAACCATAAGTATTTCCCTTATTAAATGATGAAAAATTTGATAAAATTTTAGTTTACTCTGATTTGTAGACATATTGAGATAATTTAACTGTTTTCAAGCTTTCAAACAAATGAGACAAATAAATCAAGTTAGTCAATCCGAAAGGCTATTAAATTTGATTATTTACATTGAAATTCAAGTGAGAAATATTACTAACAAATTCCATATTACTATTCTCTCTATTATTTTCTTTTATTCAACTTTCACTCCTTGTCATCAACACATCCCTATTGGTATGGAAATAGAGAAAATATTTATCAATAATTTAAAATGTAGTTTAGTACTCTAGTCTTCGTTATTGGTTTATGCTATCCCTGTTATATGGTTTATGCTTAAAGAAATATGGCACTAGCCACAAATGCCTGTAGCATGAGGCTACATTTCAGTTGGTGCATCTTAAGAAATATAACTTTTTACAGTTTGATGTAGCTGTGCCTATTTTGTAATATAATAAGTCTTGTTGTGATATCTCTTTGGTAGTTAACTTATGTTCAAATTATATTTAAGCATTTTTACTGAAATTTTTGAGTGGGTTATGTCAAACTTCTTTCTCGGATGGCAAAGTTATTTATATTATTTTATAATATAAGATTTTTGTTTTCCTAAGCCTAATACACTAAGATATTTTCCTTTCTGTGTTTCTAAGCTTATCATAGTTTTTTAAGGAAAATAAGATTTTTATTCATAATTGTGTTTTCTTAATAGAAAGTGAAAAATAAATCACTGGAAGACGTGGTTATGTTAAATGTTGATACAAACACTTTAGAATCACCGTTTAATGACTTGAACAATCTACCAGGTGATGTGGTAAGTTTTAAGGATATTTGGTAGTGAATATATGTTTTCTTTTGGACCCTTAAGTTACTGAGTTATCTCCCCCACTTTCTCTATTTGAAATAATAGGGTTGGGTATGTGCATAGGTGTGAAAGGAATAAATGTATTCTATAAATATTTTTACCTTTTGGCAGTTAAGGAGATACTGAATAAAGAACATCACATTTCTTATTGTAAAATAGGAACATAATTAAAAAGCTAGATGCATTCATTAGGCAGAGTTTCTTTAAACGTGAGTCTCTTCATCTCATCTTAATCATTATATTACAAAGTAGGCATTTCTGCCTGCCTAGTGGCATGTCTTGCAAAAGAATGAGAGAGTTTTTGAAGGCAAGAAGAAGAAGGGGGCCAATTATCGGCTTTTGCTTCCCTGCCACCTGCCAGCGCTTTTCCTTTTAATTAATGATCTGATGTTACTGGTCAATATAATAAGAAATGCTTGTACAGTTGGGGTCAGAAAATTCTGGCTTTGATCTCCCTCAACTTTCTGAAACATTTATTTGTTTTCTCTAAATTATTTCAGTTTTATTTTAATCTTTTCTATCCTGCTGAGGACCGTAAGAATGAAAACCTACACTGTTTGTCATTTGCTTTGGCAGAGAAAAGACTGCTTACTTAGAATTCTATTTGTAAATTAAACTGCAAACCCAGTTTGTCATAAAAGACATCTGATCCTTTTGAAATGACGAAAACTGTCTTTTGTCTGTAAAGGATGATAAATTAAGTGCCAGTTCTCTTCTGGTCTTTGATCTTGCAGAGGGTTGTATTGTGTGTGCATGTGTTTCTGCAGCTTATAATGGGACATATTCGTATTTCATGTTAAATCGTCTCTAAAAGTGCATTATTTGTCTTCATATTCCTTAGTACAGAGCAAAAATGCAAACTAGTACTGTTTCTGTATATATTTTAATAACTATTTAAAAGTATATTTATAACATTGTTCTAAGTTGTAATAACTTTCCTTTTTAAAAAATCAAAGCATTCATTTTCAAAGATATTAAAATTTGGGAATAAAAAACCTTCAGAATATATTTTTCTGTAATATTGCAAGTACATTGAAAACTATTATTAAGGAGTTTGAGAAGGTGAATTTCAACTAAAAAAATACTACCCTTAAAAAAATACTACCCTTGATTGTTCTTATGGCTTGTGATAAGAAAAATATGATTTAAAGTCAAAATTATATTATTTATGCTTGTAAATGATAAAAAAATTGCTGATATTGAGGCATATTAAAATTAAACTACTTTATCTTACCGTAATAAAATTTATGTTTTGTATGAACAAATCTAAACTAGGCCAATAAACAATTTTAAAATCTTTTTTAGCTCACTATAACTAGATTGCCTCATTAGAAAAGTTTGCCAAAAGAACCCCAAACAAACAAATAAAAAGAATGATTAGGGTTATTTATTTAAAAATCCATCAGAGTATTCTTTACTTTAAAGTAATAAGTATGAAAATGTAATCCCAACTTTTAAGAATGTTTTCCTTATGTGCATATATTTTCTACTGCTAGTGCCTTTCTCTTAAAGAGAAAGGATTGTTTATTAAAAAGAAAAAACAGAGAAGAGGGAAAAGAAAGAGAAATTTAACTTCTCTGTATATAATATTAAAGTTTCTAGCTTCAATGTTAGATGATTTTTTTTGAGAAAAATAATATTTAAAATTTTATTTTTTGATGGGTGATTTTTCTTTAATTGAGAAGTATTACTATTCTAGTAGAAGTAGTTTGATAATTAAAACATTTATTTAAATATGTATAAAAGTTAAATAATATTTACAAATGTAAATGTCTAAAAATATAAAATGACAAAAGGGACCATTTTATACTTTACTCATAAGCAACAGTATAACTAAACATAATTGAAATATTCAAAAATATAGATTAAAAGGAACATTGCATGATGGTTTAGATTAATTACGTATCTGCTTGAAATGAAGGGACACAAACTTATAGACAAATTTGAAGAATGGTTAAGTCAAAATAGCTCTGAAATGGAGCTTGGATCATTTACTGAAAGTATGAGATGTATTAAAGTGATAGTAATTTTCTAAAAATATTTTAGATGATTGTTTAACTAATTTCTAAAATTTTAGCTATGCATCTGTTTTCCAAAGCTATCTCTTACAGCCCTGGAGGAAGTATGATGAAGTATGACATCATATTTTTATAATGGTAAATTTTAAATGAGATGTGTTAAAATCACAAATGATCATACTGGAATTGTTTGCCTGTGATTTGAATTAACAAAATACACTTGAAACCTGAAAAATATTACTATTGGTATTGTTTGATTGTTTAATAGGCTAACTGAGATTTAAACAAGGGCCTTTTAGAATCATTCACCAAAGCATTTAAATTATTCTTACAGGCTAGGTGACTTTCTATGCATGTGCACTCTATTATTGTGTCAGATTGACCAGTGGTCTTGGCTGTTCAAAGGTCAGTGGTCACAGTTGTCCTGAATTACTAGTTCTTTTTTCCTGTGGACCCTCTGCTGTGTTGCATGCTGTAATCTTCTTAATGGCTTCATTCCAATATTCACACATAATATTTTAGATTTATTGACTGTTAGAAATACTACCATGCCAGTAGCAGTTCCGCTACTCTTAAGGTATTTAAAATTGGAAAAATAAATCAGGGCAAAGCTTTCAGGAATCCTTTGTTTCCCTTAAGGGAGGGGGAAAAACTCTCTTCCTGTCTTCTGACAAGAACACTTGTTTTTTGATTTCATCATTTCACTATAGATTTGGATCATTAAAAGAAAAGAATAGATATTTTATTGGGAGTGATTTTAATGATATTGATTATTACATGGAATAACTTTTAAAAACAGCAGCTCCATTAAAATATACTTTTGTATTTTTTTGTCTATGCATATACTGTGATTTTTTTAATGGCTATGCCAAATAGATACCTTCAGATATCTGTAGTTTGGGTGTAAAAAAGTAAATTCTAGGGCTAACTAACAGTATCAGTCAAGTTAGTGTTATTGTGGTATATGGAAAAAAAGAAGTTGAATTAAGTATAACATTTGAAATCACAAATGAGTTTATTTTAACTCATGAAAATGTACTATTAAAACTTTCTATTCCAAATATATACCCAAATTAGTTTCAGTGACATAATAATTTAAAATGTTGTATTTCTGAGGTATTACTGCTCATTTTAATTTTTGTCATTAACATTTTTAAAGTAATCAGATAGCTATATTCTGCACGAAGTATATTTAATTACTAAAACATTGAAAAGACCTTATAAGATGATGTTGTCTGAAATACCTTGTATTTTATAGAGAAGCTTTCAGGAATCTTTTGAAGGAATGCATTCATGGTTTTATTGTGATATGAAAAGGAAAGACATAAATTGCTCTGAATCACCACACATCATTAAAGGCATAAAGAACTGGAGAAAACCCCTGAAACTGACATTAAATAATATTTTTGAATATCTACATTCTAGATGAGTTTACTAATTTGGGGATATATGCTTGGAAAGAAGTGACTTTTTCGGAGAATTTTTAAATTAACTTTTCAAAAAACATTAACATATATAAACAAATTAAGCTCTTAAAAGCATGCAAATTGTGAATAGATATGTTTAATTCATTGACTATTTCCTCTAATCTAACATGAAGGTTTAACGTGTTAAATTGTCATAATATATGTTATAAAGAAAAAAAAGGCCCTAGAGAATATTATATTAGTTCCAGGTTTGCCACAGCTCTGCTATAATCCTTATCATGTTTAATGGTAAGTGAAGTCCCTAACCAATTTCTAGGGTGGCCAGGCTAGAGAGATAACACAGTTTCACTCAGCTTCTAAAGTAATTTGGAGAACATTTTATTTAGTTCGTGGAGTAGACTTCAGGAGACAAATATTGCTTTCAGTTTGACCCTGGAGAATTATAGTCAGTCAGTCAGTCAGTCAGTCACTCTCTCTCTCCTCTCTTTCTCTCTGTCCCTGTCCCCCCTGCTCCCTTTCTGTCTCCCTCCTTCCCTCCCCAGCTATTAGAATTCAGGCATCTGAATTGTGCATTGTCCCTACCACACAGCCTTGGTACCATGCTTTGTAGATAGCAGCCATTCAAGAAATGATTGTTGAAGGGAAATATAATTGCACATTTTAATCTTTGTAACAGAAGCTTGCCTTTAAAGTATCTAGGACATTTTATAGGATATTTTCATTTGTAATAATGAAAACAAGAAATCTGGTAGCATATTTAAAATAAATTTTTTAAAGTGTAACCTTTTATTTCCTGTTTCTGGAGGAAGGAGCCTATGGTGACAGCAATCATTGTGCTACTGATACACATCTGAGTTTCTGTAGAAACTTGCCAGATTTTTAAATAGTTATTTTTAAAGATGTGATTATTTACAAAGTAATTTTTTGTTCTTTATAGGTAAGTTATTATAGATTTTGCTATTTTTCCCAACTATTTTCTTGGTTTTTAAAAATATAAACCTTAAATGCAGAGACAAAACAAAAGCAAAACCCAAAACCTTAACTGTGCTTCTAAAAATTTAAAATATTTTTGTTTGTTTTTTTACTCAATAGAATAAGAGAATCTGACTTTCCCACTGCAATGATCCAGGCTTTGGTAGTCCCCTCACCCGTTATGCCTTTTTGCCATTCTGAAGTTGATTTATTGTTTGTTACTTTTAGTGATTTTAAGTGCTCATGAAGTTCTTTGGCTTTCTCATGGCTTTTCATTTCCAATTAAATTGCCTTGCCTTTCTTTTAATGTCTCCCCCACCGCCCCACTTGCCTTATTACCTTAATAGCATGCTTTTCTCTCCTCTTGCTGCTACTTTAAAAAAAAAAAAGAAAAGGTAAACCTTGATTTTGGCTTTTGAAATTATTTCCAACTTTCTTCTTGTCCTTTAAAATTCTGGTATTTCTATATTCAAGAAACCTTTTTTGTCTGTAATATTGTAAATATTGTCACAATAGCAGTTACCAAATCTTG